CCTGAAGTCAATCATCCATTTTTTTGTCAGAGGAAATATAAACAGCTCACCGCCTGGGTTCTAAATACTGGACGCCGGATAGTGAAACCTGCGCGAGTCTTAAACAGCACGCATTCGGCGGTAAATTGTTTATTCCACTCTGAAAAGCACAGATTAAATCTAATTTATTTATACGGTGAAGACTTCTCTATTGACAGCCCTACATTTTGTGTGTAGGAAATTTATGTGTCTTTACCTTGGAAATTAGAGCTTCATTTTCTAGGGCTTGCAACCGCCCCCCCCTCCCCCCGCCCAAGGCTTCTATTTGAAAAAAATCCAGATTAACAAAGTGGCCAACTGAAAGAAATGATAACCCAGGTCACCAAGTCCATCTGTCGCAAAAGACGACGGGAGCCGCTGAGGTGTGCTCAGTCTTTTTCGGAAGATGAGCTGCAAGACAAACACGTGCGTCGAATTTCGGTAGACGGTGTCACTGTGTCGGAGAGCGTTGACGTTGCTGCGATGCGCCACGAGGCACATTCAACATCTCTTGTGAGGACAACGGTTTCTTCGGAATGTTCTCGGAACAGATGCGAGTCCCGCATGGAATCATCCACACACTCGGATGGATTTCACAGCATGGCGTGGCCCCGTCTCCCTGCATCAGAGATTCATTACGACAACCAGCAGACGACCTCGGACTCGACGTATAACAACCCAACTGCTGACGTCATTTTTTCACCGCTGCTAGGCAATCGCGCGCTGGTTCCCACTCATCCTGGCAAGTGTTCCCGAACACCGGAGATGACGTCACTGTGCGGTAAAACCGTGTTCCTGTCTTACCGGCCTTTCTACGACGGATTAGATCTTGGCGTGGAGAGTGATGCGTCGTCGCCAACAGGGGAGGGAAGCGAAGTCGTCATCAAGAGAAGGTGAGTTTTTTGTTTTGTTTTTTTTATTTGGGTTGCCATTGGCCATTTCGACCCATCCCTGTGGCGCTACAGCCCATGTAGGGCTTTTGCCTGCCTCACTCACCACATCCTTCCAGTCAGACCTAACTGGTGTTTTTTCTTCTCCATGCTTTTAGATTCCCAGCTGCTGTGGATCCCTATCCACATCATCCATTTATCTAAGCCTAGGTCTGCCTTTGAGCCGTTTTCCCCTGGAGTTTTGATGGTGCACCCTCTTCACTCCTCTTCCATTTTGTATTCTTTCTCAGTGTCCAACCCAGTGTAGCAAGCCCTTTCTTTCATTTCTGCTACTAGTAACTACTAGTGTGGGATACTGATATAGACTATAATTCCTGTTTGGTTCGTATTCTTCATCTCTATTCATCCTTTGTTGGTCCATATCATTAATAGGTTTTCAGCCTATTTTTGTCAGATTCCAAGTTTCACTGGCTATTTTGAGGTGCACACTATACATAATACAACATAAGACAACTGCAATAATCTAACACACTGAGCACTAGTTTGTCTCTTCTATTGAAGCCAATTGAACAACTTTCTCTTTTCTTTCCGTGAAAAGCCCGACACAAAATGACCTCCCTTTATTACGCTTACTTGGTTATGCAGGAAAGATTTTTTTTATCAAACAATTGCTTTTTAAAAGAAAAACATGCTTTATTAAAGCATGCGTTAAGTCCCTTTGCTAAGAATGCCAGAGTTCTCTGCAGATCTCGTTCACACACGCTAAGGATTCGTGATATGCCTGATAGACAAAAAACGATTGATGGAATGATATGTCAGATCAGCCCACTGTAATACTTGCCCCACATTGATGTACTGACATGTCGGATCAGCCCCACTGTAATACTTGCCCCACATTGATGTACTGGCATGTCGGCTTAGCCCACTGTAATACTTGCCCCACATTGATGCACTGACATGTCGGCTTAGCCCACTGTAATACTTGCCCCACATTGATGTACTGACATGTCGGATCAGCCCCACTGTAATACTTGCCCCACATTGATGCACTGACATGTCGGATAAGCCCCACTGTAATACTTGCCCCACATTGATGTACTGGCATGTCGGCTTAGCCCACTGTAATACTTGCCCCACATTGATGTACTGACATGTCGGATCAGCCCACTGTAATACTGACTTGTCCCAGGCATTTCATGATCCAACACACCAAAATGTACAGTAACACCTTGTTGTCGTGAGGAATATGATGTGGCGGCCGGTGTTACGACCTTCTTTGGTTGGTCTTCACAAATGTTACGATGTAACAAACTTCGCCAGTGGACGCATTTAGGGCCGGGCAGTTTGATAGGCCCTAAGTCGTCTAGAGTCTAGGGTGACAACTGTTTGATAGGCCCTAAGTCGTCTAGAGTCTAGGGCCTAGGGTGACAACTGTTTGATAGGCCCTAAGTCGTCTAGAGCCTAGGGCTTGGGGGTGACAACTTTTTGATAGGCCCTAAGTCGTCTAGAGTCTAGGGCCTAGGGTGACAACTATAGACTAAAGTACGCTTAACTTGCCTGTACCGTGACCTGGTCCACAATTAAGAGCAACCGACAGCGTCCAACGAAGGTAATAATAACAGTTCTTTATTTAAACAGGATCAAATCCCAGCAACTGTCAATTCACAACTCTGTCTCTTTCTCTCTCTCTCTCTCTCTCTCTCTCTCTCTCTCTCTCTCTCTCTCTCTCTCTCTCTCTCACAACTCACAAAACACTCTCACGATTAACATCCCCCCCCCCCCAAACATTCACGACAATCTAGGTCACAACAACGGGTGATTGAATCGACCAATTCAATGTTGCTCAATTAAAAATGTTTAGAAAATAAAAAGTTTGTACATTTTAATTTGTGTTTGGTTAAGCCTCGGATTATGGCGACTTCCAACCCTCCATTCCTATGCTACCCCATCAGTGTATCAATCTTCGCAATGAGCCCCAAAGACTCATGCTGAATCTATAACAGACCCACACACCACTCTTTGTGTTAGCCAACAATCCGTCACATGACGGACATAACGTAATTTACTGGTCTTCTCTTGTCAGCAGAGGCGTAGCGAATGGGGGGGGGCGGACAGATGTCCCCGGGCGCCAGCTAGTTGGGGCACCAAAATGTGCTTTGATATTATTTTATTGATGAAAATAAGATTTGAAAAAAAGAAAAAGGGGCGCTTTAAAATTGATATTGTCCCCGGGCGCAAATCTTGTACCCGGGCGCAAAACACCCTCGCTACGCCTCTGCTTGTCAGTAAAGCACGTAAGTATCTTAAGAAGTTTGTAACATGTTTAGGAAGTCTGTAACATTTTTAGGAAGTCTCTAACAATTTTAATAATTATGTAACAATTTTAGGAAGCCTTTAACATTTTTAGGCAGTCTGTAACAATTTTAGGAAGTCTGTAACTGTAACAATTTTGGGAAGTCTGTAACTGTAACAATTTTAGAATGTCTGTTACAATTTTAGGAAGTCTGTAACAATTTTAGGAAGTCTGTAACAATTTTAGGAAGCCTTTAACATTTTTAGGAAGTCTCTAAGAATTTTAATAATTATGTAACAATTTTAGGAAGCCTTTAACATTTTTAGGAAGTCTGTAATAATTTTGGGAAGTCTGTAACTGTAACAATTTTAGGATGTCTGTTATAATTTTAGGAAGTCTGTAACAATTTTAGGAAGTCTGTACCAATTTTAGGAAGTCTTTAACAATTTTATGAAGTATGTAAGTGGAACAATTTTAGGAAGTATGTAACTGTAACAATTTTAGGCAATGTAACAATTTTAGGAAGTCTGTAACAATTTTAGTCAATGTAACAATTTTAGGAAGTCTGTAACAATTTTATAGAAATAGACCCGTTATAGTGCGGCATTTTTTCAAGGGCCGTCAAATTCCATCCAAATAAAAACCCATTTTTAACAAAACAACACAGCTAAAATATCTTCGAAAAAAAAAAAGAGAGACAATTAAAGTCTGAAGTTCCAGATGATTCAATTCTTGATCCGGAAAAGAACTGTAGATTTTTTTGTTTTGTTTTTAAAAGAGATTGTTGTTACAGAAATTCATTCGGTAATGATCGAATTTTACACCGTGACTTCATCGGAATTTTAATGCCATAAGAAATAGATTTGTTTATTTTAAAAGAAGCTTTCAAAGAGTGAACAAGCCTTCAATTAGCTCAGCATCGAAACGTGAGGATTCGGCTACACACAGAAGAACCAAATAAGGGGAGGAGGCGGCTGGACACACAGGGAATTTGTGTCAATATACTTAGGGGCGGCATTGTAGGACCCAATGCAAGGGGGAACAAAGGAATGTTCTGAGGGATTAATAGAAGTAGCGCAAAAGTTTATTTCACCATGAAGGCATAGAGGTTACTTTGATCAAATTGGAATTCGGGAAAAATTGGCTATATTCTTTAATTAATTATGACAAATTGTATAAGAATGGAGGCCTATGGACCAGGCACACTATCAGCGCTCAAACTAAAATGAAAGTATACACGGCGGCTGTGCTCCTTTCGTGTCTCTGTGCTTGTGAACAGTGCAGAAAACTATCGTGCGTAAACCTAAATTAAGAAAATTCCCTCCTGCTATTTGAATAATTAAAATTTGGCATATTCTAATGAACTAAGGAATTTTGGCCTTCAATATATATATATATATACACATGGGCGCCCGCAGGGGGGGGGGAAAGGGGGCACTTTGCCCCCCCCCCACCCTGGATTGATTGGATAAAAAAATTTTTAGACAAAAAATGTATTAAAGTAAAGAGAAAATAAAGAGAAAGTAACTAAGCTGATGTCCTGTCCGTTCGTTCACCATACAATTACGCTACAGTAAATTAAAACTACATTAAAACATTACTAAAAATTGTTTGCCCCCCCCCCCTGGAAAGTTAATCGATTTTTTTTGCCCTCACCCCCTAGAAAGTTTTCTGCGGGCGCCCATGTATATGTATATATATATATGTGTGTGTGTGTACCGGTATGTATATATAATATTATGAAACGCCTAGAAACCAAAGGCTTTACAAAAACCGTTTTTTCTTTTCTTGTTCATTTCAGATCCAGCGCTAACGCACGGGAGCGCAGACGCATGCAGAGCATGAACGCAGCTTTCGACCGCTTGCGTGACGTCATCCCATCTTTTGGCGGAAACCGGAAGCTCTCCAAATACGAAACCCTCCAGATGGCGCAGAGTTATATCAACGCTTTAGAAGATGTTCTAAAACACTAACCGGTTCTAGGCTGGTTGCCTTACGCCCAAAACTGTATGGTGTGGAGAGTTTAGTCATGGAAATCTTAAAATGTCAGCCATGGCGGCCGGTGCATAGCCACGGGCGTGGTTCCCGAAACGAAGTGGTGGCTGTGACGTTTCGGAGACGTTGAATACTTAGAATCTACACAAACTGGTGATATTCATTGACGAGTTGGCAATCGGGAATTTGAGCCATGTCAGCGGCTCATGTCTGAGGTGTTGTCACGAAATACTAGGAGGATGTGTCAATCAAGAAAAGGTGATGTTAGGGCCACAGATGCCCCAATCCCTGTATTGAGGGCCACAGATCCCTGTATTGAGGGCCACAGATCCCTGCATGGAGGACCACAGATCCCTGCATGGTTGCTTCATAGTAAGGTCATGCGGTCATGCATTAAGTACCAAAAAAAAAAACATGGTTTTAAAATATTCTAGCTGACAGCGCCGATACCTGAGGACCCAACTCAGGACATTTCCCCCACACTTGACTCCTCCAATTTTCCCATTAAACATTTACTCCATCATACCCCCCTCCCCAAATCGCAATCATGTGTCTGTCAGAAACTATTGGCTTAAAACAGTGTGTCATTGATGGTGCTGTATAACATATTATTGACATTGCGTATGATGCAGGACTGTATGAATGATGCCGGACTGTATGGATGACGAAACCAACATGTTGTGCGAGAACTGCATCCGCCTGTCTCAAGGAGACGATGGTATTGTGTTCACTGGAAGTGACCCTAAGGGAACGAGATGTGGGTAATACAGTCTGACACTAGGGGCGTCGAAGTTACCAGAATCGAATTGACGATGTTGATTTTAACTCCACCCCACAAGTTTTGTATGACAAGTTGTAGCATTGACAGCGCCAGCCATGCAGTTCCCAAAACATAACAGACTGTATTACAGTGACAGACCTAGAGTTGCAACAATTTACAAAAGGGAGACTGCGCTGGACTGGAAAGGACGCCTTGAGAAAATGCCGGATAGAAACCTAGGGGCAGTCGGCTCATTGGTCAACCAATGAGATGGAGTGACGATGTGGAGAATGACTTACATCAGCTGGGGGTCCGCACTCCGTACACGGAGGCGGAAAGCCATGGATTGATCTGAATGAAAGGGTGCAGTGGGACAGGACAGGCCATGGACATGAGCTGTGGTGCCACTGATGATTAATACGGATACAATTAATGGACATGTGTCACTGTGTTGAGCAAAGCGTGTTCTGCTTAACTATTTATACAGTATCTAGTCAAACCGTGTCAACTTTAGATTTCTATGTTAATCTTTTATTACAATATAGATTTATTTACACTGCTCAAGTGCGATAACAAGCACATCAAAATTATCTGACTTGAATTTAATGATGTGAATGTATTGGCACCTTGTTTCTAATGTTATGGTGCTGCATTCCAATGGCATGTCAATAAAAAGACAAATAATTAATATGTGGTGTTTGTCTGACTTTTAGTATAAAAGATTTGCACCTTTAAATTTATTCCCATCTGTTCCCTTCTCTTCTCCTTCGTTCCCTTTTAAGACTTAGTCTCCCCAATCTATCTCTTTTTCTCAGTTTCTCTTAATATTCCCCCACCACTATACACACACACACACACACGCACAATATGAATTACAGGAATCGACTTTGAAATTATTTATTCGCTTTATCATTTTGTTGTAAAGTTTTTAAATAAATTATTACTTTTTTTTTAAATAAAAAAAACATGCTGCCTTACTCAAATATTCATTTTTAAAATTCCCAAAACAAAGCATCACACTCACTCTCTTGCCCTTAACTTTTAGTGAGTAGTATTACAAATATTTCCCCAATGCATGTATTTTAACAATTAGCAAAACTAAAACTTGTTAGAGGCAGAAAATTGCTAGCATGTGTTATAAAAGCTTATTGCTATTTTTATGCTTACCCAGAAACAATTCGTTAAATTTCAGATTTCCGTGACGATATGAGAGATCAAAATAACGAGTATTAGACACATGCCCTCCCCCGGAATTAATGTTTTCATTCCGGCTTACCCAAAACTAATTGGCCCGTTACAGTAGAAATAATAAATTATTCCCCAAACCACAGGTTTTCCACGGGCAGCCTCCGGGGATGCCCGTTTTTTTTTTTTTTTTTTTTTTTTTATTGGCTTTTTTTTTTTTTTTTTTTTTGTAAGCGCTTTGTTGCCAGTTGGCTGCACGTGCGCGTGTAATCGAGTCTATTTGAGATGGCTTGTCTGTATTGATGGTAGTACGGTGTCATCTATCACTTGCCTTCCTGCACGACTACTCTTTACGCGATGATTTATGGTGATCTCGATACGATTTTATGAACGGGTCTCTTTCATTGGTTTAGGAACGCCTCGGTTTTTGGGTTTTTTTTGTGTGTTTTTTTTAATAAACGTTAAAAATAGACTTGTCAAACAAGAGACTGAATAATACCCAATCATTTCAAGATGCTTCACGCTCTAAAACAAAAACAAAAAACCCTTGAAAATAATAAGCACGATCAATGTATTCTTCAAGGAAAATCTTTGGACGGCTTAACATTTAGTATTTATAGTAATTTGAACAAATTCATCACACTGGCGATCATTAATTATGATAGGTGGTGACAGTGGCGTAGCTAGGGTTGGTGTCACCCGGTGCGGTAAACTCATGGTGTCACCCCCCCCCTCCCCCAAACTTCTATGATCGATTTTTTCTTGTTAAAATAAGTCCACAGTATAGTATCAACCTTGAACTTTTAATAAAGCACGCATTTGGATTGGTTACATTTGTGAAAAATATATGTGTGATCGGTTATTCTTTTATGAATCTCGGTTTTTGCGAGCAATGTGTGCCCTGTAAATATGCAATTTTTCAATCGGGTGTCACCCCTAAAATGGTGTCACCCGGTGC